CGTAGTTTCATATCCTATCAACCTTGCTAGTGCTAGGATTATGGGCAGGGCACTATCACCTTGACTACAGTAATGTTCTTTAAAAGTAAATTCCCAGAAGTGTTATTGTGTTAAAAGATGAAATTCTTTGAGGTTTTTCATAAATCATACTAGTTTGCTTCCCTAAAAGGCTTGTATGAGTGTTTGCCTAATGCATTAGCAAGCCCATTTCTCCCATGCTCTCAACAAAATGGAATGTTATCTTAAAAAAAAAACCCAAGCCAAAACCTTTTCCTAATTTAAGCTGGTGATATTTTAAATGGCATGCATTTAATTGCTAGTAAGTTTTTAAGTGCTTGTGATCTTTATTAATTTTCCTCATTGACTTTATGCATTTATAATCTCTCAGTGTTATTCCTATGTCACTAGATGTGTGTAAGACTTAATGTAGTTGTCAGTATAGTCAGTAGATGATGCCAGAAGGAAAAGATACGTGAGGACCAAACTCAGCCCTGGGAGATAGTAACCTTCAAGTGGTAGCTGGTCTAGTGTCGATGAAATGAGCCTGTAAGGCTCAGAATGTGAAAAGAGGGGTTAGGTACTTTCCCTACTTTAAAATGAAGCATTTCTTACATTACTATACAGTAATAGTTTTTTTTTTTTTTTAAGCATTTACTTGAGCAACGTTCGAATTGTTTTATATTTTACTGTGTTCTCAGCTAGAGCAACTGCACTGGCTGTTTTCTACTTTAGTTTCATTTTTGTGTTTTGGAGGGTGTTTGTTTGTTTGGTTTGAGACAGGGTTTCTCTGTGTAGTTATAACTGTCCTGTAACTCACTCTGCAGAACCTGCTGGCCTAGAACCCACTACCTGGCTTATTTCTTTTTTCACAATCTGACTGTGTTGCACTCTTTAAAAAGTATATATTTAAAGCAAGAGAAAAGCATGAAGCAACACCTGTCTATCCACCTGCTGCCTAAGGGGCCGCACCGGAGAGCACAGGCTAAGCAAAGCCCCTCTGTGCTCTGTCTACTTAAAGTTGATGATTTCCGCCACTGTACGTTTCACAGTCAGTTACAGGGTTTTTCTAATTCAAACAAGATGTGCTGTGGAGATGGATTTCATCTGAACTACTACTTTGGTCTCTGACAAAGTGAAGGGTGCTGTCACTTCATGTCACTTCACGCTGTCTTCTCTGGTAGCCAGTTCTGTGCTTGCTGCAATTCCGTGTCCCGCCCTTTGTGCCTCACAGAATTCAGAAATGGTAGGATTTAGAATAATAGTGTAATTGTTTATGATGGGGATGGCAGTGCAGTAGAGGAACAAGAGAACAGAACAGAACAGTCAGATTCGTGCCCAAGCAGTGCACCGCAAGTCTGCACAGCACTAGAAGCAGTGAGTGTTATAATAAAGCTCGTGGGGGACTTTGGGGGGACTCTCCGGCAAGGGACAAACACGCCAGGCAGACAGAGCGTAGTGAGAAGTTTTATTAGAAATGGGAGGGAGGGGAAGGGAAGAGAAAAGAGGTAAAGAGACAGGGAGGACAGAAGAGAGGAGGGAGACAGGAAAAGTCCTGTCTGCCCCAGGGGAACACAGGAAAGAGGGCGAAGTGGGTGGGTGGGGGTCTTTCTTTTAAGAGGCCAGGGCACATATACCTGCTATGCTCAGGTGGGTGAGAGGCGGGGCCAGATTTCCTGGATTACACCAGCAAGAGGCGTGGCTGGAGTTGCAGGAGTTCACCAGGGAGACTAAGGCAAAGAGAAAAAAATTAAAGGCCAACCTGGGCTATTTCGGAGCCCTATCAAGAAAATCTTTAGAAGAGTATAATGTGATCATTGTGCACAGCTGTGACTCAGGTGACCATGTGCATTTACCGTATTTACTATTGGGGCCACGTGCAAACCTTTCATCCCCACTTGGGAGGCAGGGCCGGTGGATCTCTGTAAGGTCAGCCTGGGCTACAGAGCGAGTTCCAGGGCAACAGGAGTGCATAGTGATACTGTGTCTCAAAACAGACCAACTTTACCATCTCATCCATTCAGACAAGGGGAAACACAGCCAGTTAACTGGTATTGCATGCCAGCCAAGAGTGAGCTGAGTGTGAACATGACAGCTGTGTTCAGCTCTTGTTTGAGGTCGGTCACTCTTGCAGGGATCCCATAAGTGGGTTAATAGGGTACCTTTATGCAGCCATTTCCCGGGCCTTCTGAAGGAGACGGGCAAGGACACAGGTGCAGAGCCTCTTAAGATAATCCTCTTGTTTTAAATTGTGACTCTTCAAGTAGTTCATGAAAATGTCTTAAAAATTTTCAGTAAGTGTTCTTAAAATTTTTAACTTTAGGGAAGACATGCAAGAAATTTGCATAAGACAGCTGTGCAGAATGGTGCTGGAGGAGCCTTATTTGTGGTGAGTAATCAAAACCCTTAATGGAAAGACTTGGGGATTTGAGTGAGTCTACTGTATTGTCTTAAATTGTGGGATTTGTTACTACTTGGTGGTAGAATACTTGCTTAGAGTTTGCAGTGTCGAATCCAAAAACTTTGAAGTATTTGTTTTAATTAGATGTGTGTGACTGAGCACAGACATGTGCACCATGTCCATGCAGAGCTGGAGAAGGTCAGAAGTGCTGTTAGATCCCTAGGAACTGGTGTTATAGACAACTAGCTGTGAGCTGCTGCGTGGGTGCTGGGAACCAAGCCTGAGTCCTTTGCAAGACCACTAAGTACTCTTAACCTCTGAGCTGTTTCTCCCATCCAGAAGCACAAAACCTTAATATCTGTGTCTTTGGCAGATATTGACCTTTGTAGGGATTTAAATATAGCTTGTTAAATTCACTATAATTGATGTTTGGTTCCAGCTGACCCTCACAAATAGAAACTAACACCTGGTAACCTAGGAGGCTGTAGGAATAAGAATTTGGGTTATTGTTTGGTAAAGTTACTATGAGCCCTAACCTGTTCATCAGACTCCATGGTCTTAAAAGCCAGTCTGTTGGTTGGCTGGCTGAAGGTAAGGCCGTAACTTGAGAAATTGCTAAAGGGTATTCGAAACTCAAGAGCTTATAGTAGTCAGGACATTACTACATAATAAGTTGGCCTCTGTATTTTTGGTTTCACAGTTTTATCTCTAGGAGGTATCTATAAATGCCTCAACTTTGTTGTACAAGTCTGAAAGCTTTAGATGCTGTGTCTGTTTATCTGATATGAGCAGTTTCAATTCCTAGCAATCGACGGTGGCCTTTTCTGGCCAGCAGGCATGCATGTAGGCAGAACACTGTATACATAATAGATAAATAAACATAAACAAGCAAACAAAAAAATTTTTAAAAATAAAAATTTATATTGATGTGTCTACATGTATATATGTTTGTGTGGTGCAGGTGCCCTTAGATAGCAGAAGAAACCATTGAATACCCTGAAACTAGAGTTTGGAGGAGTTAAAAGTTGCCCGTTGTGACTTCTAGGAATTGAACTCTGGCTCTCTGTATTAGCAGTAAGGGTTTCTAACCTCTAAGCCATCTATCTCCGGCCCATATGTGCAATTTTTTGTTTTAATTACATAAAGCTGCCAATTTGTCTTTGATGTCCCATTCCTAATGAAGCTGGATAACTAAATTTTGGAACTTCTTAATTTTTAAGGATATTTTGAAACTGTTCTAAAAATACATATTTTTAGTCATTCTTGCTACAAAGATAAACTGGTAGAATGATGGAATTAAAATAGAGATAATATGTACAGTAATACATTTTTACATTTCAGGGGAAATATTGATAATTTTGGGAAAAAATTTCTTTTTTTTTCTTTTTTTGGCATAGCATAGAGATACTCCTGAGAATAACCCAGATACTCCATTTGATTTCACACCGGAAAACTATAAGGTATGATTACATAAGCAGTGTGATTGATTTATCAAGTGTTCCATGCCCTCCTGTGTAAAGCAGGCATGTTCCTTTTACAGAGGATAGAGGCAATAGTGAAGAACTACCCAGAAGGACATAAAGCCGCAGCTCTGCTTCCAGTCCTGGATCTGGCCCAGAGGCAGAATGGATGGCTGCCCATATCCGCGATGAACAAGGTACTGAACTCAGTTTTGACTCAGGAAAGAGGAGAAATTGTATAGATGACTTTATATAGAAGTCATCATGGTAATCATTAATATCAGAGTTGAGGAGTTTGAAGCCCTTTAGTCTCTCTCTCAAAGGATGGATAGACAGACAGACAGACAGACAGACCCTCCTTAGTGTGTTTTTGTCAGTTCCCATTCTTACAGGAAAATAGGCGTTAATGTGAAATAGGTGTCCGTCCATCCCGTCATCATCCTGTGTCTGTGTGTCGTTGTCCCCCCTTTTGAGGGAAATGATCTTAATGAAAAAAATCTCAAATATGTATAGTTTAGTACGAAGGTATTTTGAAAATTAATGCAGTGTTTAAACTGTAAAATTACAGGGGGATATCCCTTACCAAATGCAGTCTCTCAATGTGTTTATGTCTTTGGTTCTAGTCTTTAGCAAAAGCCAATCACCTCACTTCAGCCTATTAAAAAGCACTGTAGGATTCATCCTCTCTTCTTCCAAGACAGGGTTTGCCTGACACACCTAGCCCAGACTGGTCACTCTTGTTGTCTTAGTTTGGTCTTTCCAGACAGGGTTTCTCTGTAGTTTTGGAACCTGTCCTGGAACTCACAGAGACCTGCCTGCCTATGCCTCCCCAGTGGTGGGATTAAAGGCATTTACCACCTCTGCCCAGCTTGGCCCAGACTAGCCTTAAACCTTTACTAATCCTCCTGCCGATTTGAAAAGGTGAAGATTAATTGCATTCAAATGGTATCCGGAATAATCTAGATTTCAAGTTTACTTAATATGGTGATTACGTTCGTGTGCCAATAGAGCATTTCATTTACACAGTGCCGTATAACAACAGCTCATCTGTCAGGTATTCTCCTGTAGTTCACTCACTCTTGTCATTTTCTAAACTTTATGTGGCTTAACACAAAAAGGAACAAATGACAAAAAGGCTACCATTCAGAGAATAGGATAGACTTTATCTAATACCCACAAATGCAAATTTTAGATTGTGTTAGTTGTTCTGTTTGCGTCATATATTCCCCTAATAGTGAAGTGCGTTACAAAGCTTTCTTGAACTAAGCACTGTTCTGTCCTTAGTAAACACAGCTGGTTAGTTTTTTCAGAAACCTTGATGTGAGATGGAGCTGTAGTTAGCAGAAGAGCATTGGCCATCAACTCCAAAACCCTGGGCTCAGTCTCAGGCACTAAGAAAGAAAGAAGAAACAAAAATAGTGTGATATATAGGGCTTGTGAAAAGTGTTTTGTGTTTCATCAAATTATACCTTAGTTTTTAAACTCTTTAAAAATATTGAAAGCCCTGAAGTCATGGCTCATGCCCTTAATCCCAGCATTCAGGAGGCAGAGGCAGGAGATTATCTGTGAGTTTAAAGCCAACCTAGTCTACAGAGTGAGTTCCAGGACAGCCAGGGCTGTATAGAGAAACCAAAAGGAAAAAAAAAAAAAAAGAAAGAAACGTGTGTGTGATGTATGCGTGCCATAGCACGTGTGGAGGTCAGAGGACAGTGGTAGAGACAAATAAAATACAGAGTGGGTTCTGTGTGTGTTCAGCTCCGGTTCAGTCTGTGTGAGTTCCAAGGATCAATCAGGTCATCAGGCTTCTGTGGCAGGCAAGGTCTTTTATTTGCTCAGCCATCTTGGCAGCCCATAGCATTTTTTTTTTTGAAAAATGTTTTTAATAATGAGAAGTCTCTTCTAAGTCTTGTAAGCCTACAGAGAAGGATAAAACATTGACAGTGTAAGAGCACTTAGAATATAGTGCGGGTTACATTACCCTTCAGGTAATAAACGCTGTAATCATCTTTAATGTTTTAATATTTTAGGTGGCAGAAGTTTTACAAGTACCTCCCATGAGAGTCTATGAAGTAGCAACTTTTTACACAATGTATAACCGAAAGCCAGTTGGAAAGTACCACATTCAGGTCTGCACTACTACACCTTGTATGCTACGCGACTCTGACAGCATACTGGAAACCCTTCAGAGAAAGCTTGGTATGGGCACTTCATTTCTTTTGTTAACAAGACCAAGGTCAGTTAGGGTGTGATGAGGGTCGTAACCCCAACATTTGGGAGGCAGAGGCGGGCAGATCTACAAAGTGAGTTCCAGGACAGCCAGGGCTACATAGAGAAACCCTGTCTTGAAACACCTCTCCTACCTCCCCATTGTCCCCCCAAAAAACCAACACCAAGATTGTCTAACAGGCTATGGTGGTACATACCTATAATCTCACATTCAGGGTGCCAAGGCAGGAGGATGGTTGAGTTCTAGGTCAGTCTAGGCTATATAGTGAGCTCTGGGTCAGCCTGGGCTGCACATTAAGAACCTAGCTCAATGGCTTCTTCTACACTCCCTGCCACCCAAATATAAGTATCTTTCTGGAGTTGACTTTTTCACTTAAAATTTTCAGCTTCAGTGTTTCTTACTTGGTTTGTACTTTCTTGGTACTTAAAAAAATATTATTTACTTTTAATTCTTTCTACTTTGTGTTCTTCTGATTCTCAGCTTCAAGTCTAGCTTTTAAAATCCATGTTACATTAAGTATGTTTGTAAAGCTTCTAGGAAGATTGTCTCTGGTGTTACATATGTCACAAAACAAAAAGTCCGTGCATGGGCTGGAGAGATGGTGCGGGGTGAGAGCGTGTGCTGCTCTTCTGCAGGAAAATGTTAAGGGGTGCAATTATGGCATACTTACAAAACAACTGGGCACTTCCCATGCAAACTGCCATTGTTGCTTTTTTAACTTTCACCTTTTCTTCTGGACTCACACTGACTGCCGTCCTCAGCACTCCCTTCTTTTCTTCTATTTACTTATTTTGAGTTAGGATCTTACTGCGCTGGCCAAGCTGTTCTTGCTAAAGTCCTCTGACCTCAGTTTCTCAAGGAGCTGGTCTTTGCCGATTGTGGCTTTTTTCCCTCTTTAATACAAGTCCTTGCGTGCCACAGATATATTTGGGCAATGTTGAGGTAATACAAGGCAGACTGCTCAAGCTGACCCCTAAGGCCCACCTCTAAGGCTTAGATTCTGATAACTGCCTGGTACATTAGTTATGGCAGATTTGTATCCTGTAGTATTTAGCACATTATCTGTGCTTACACTGAGTGATGCAACTTTGGGCTTTTGTATGGCACACAGTGTTGGCATCATTTTGCTCTTAGAGTTACTCTAGTGTTTTCAGATGAACACCCCCTTGCATGCTCTGCATGTTGTGCATTAAGATTGAGTGTAAGAAAATTGCTGCGTCACGCCATATTTGCCAGTGTATGCGCACTAGCTTTTTCCTTACCTCCTTAATAATCTTGAATCCTCAGTTTTCTCAATCTTTGCCAATGGAATGGCATGTGTTATTAGCAGTCCAGTTTACTTTTTAAATAACTTTACTTTTTGTTTGTGTAGTGCCCACAGTAGCCAATGGCTTGAGACTGGAGTTACAGGCTGTGCACCACATGTGGGTGCCGGGAACTGAACCCTGGTCCTCTGCCTGTGGGCACTGGGAACTGAACCCTGGTCATCTGTAAGGGCAGCTGGCGCTCAAACTACTCAGGAGTCTCTCCAGCTCCTGTTTACTTCTTTGTTTTGAAGCTTGAGGACAATTTTATTAGTTTAAAAGAAAAACCCCAAAGCAGGCAAGCTGTAAATATCTTCAACTGCCTTGCCTGTAGGACTGAGAGAGAGCTGTGCTGTTGGAGGTAGGCATGGAGGTCAGTCCCCTGCCAGACAAGCAGCTAGGTGGTGAGGGAGTAGTTCAGTCTTAGCCACAGTGTGAATGAAAACCCAATAAGCACTGGTCTCCAGGCTTTTGTTGATATTAAAGGAAAAAGCCTACTTAAGAAAGCTAGGCACGGTGGCTTTTGCCTATAGTCCCAGAACTCTACTGAGTCTGTTGTCTCTAGCTCTATTGAGACAGTATCTTAATATATAGTCCAGGTTGGCCTTGAACCTGAGATCTGTCTCTTACTTTGCAATTGCTGATTTACATGTGTGCATTGTCACGCTTGGCTCTCTTTACAGACATCTAATGCACATACATCAGTATTTTTATACCCCCTATAGCATATTATTGATGTCATTTTTCTTAAACCATATTGCTTTTAAGCTGTGATCTATTTCTTATAGTGATCATTTACATTTTTAGGAATAAAGGTTGGAGAGACGACACCTGACAAGCTTTTCACTCTTATAGAAGTGGAATGTTTGGGGGCCTGTGTAAATGCCCCAATGGTTCAAATCAATGACAACTACTATGTGAGTATTCAGCTTCACTAAGCTAATGTTCTATAATATCCTACTTAAAACATTTCATGTCCACATGTGTTGGTTCTTGAGTTACTTGTTTAGAAGAAACCATTTGCATAAGTATCTGGAAGGTTGTAAAAGAATTACCTTTAAATATTTTGTATTTTTGTCCAACTTGAGAGTTTTAAATTATGATGAATTTAATCATTTAAATACACTAGAAACCAAGATGTAATAGCAGCACTTTAGGGCATTTACTTAGATAATATTGTCTACTAATACTATTATTTGCAAAACAAATTACACATACAAGTAGAGCACCTCAACCCTACTTTCTCTTTCCCAATAGATGCTATACAGTTCTTTCTGTATAATCTGCAGTACTGTCATATTGCTCAAGTTTTTAAATAAGTGAAATGTATAACATACCTCTACTACTGTAAATTTTATTTTATAATTTTATGTGCGTTGCTGTTTTGCCATGGATGTCGGGTCCCCTGGAACTGGAGTTCAGGCAGTTGTGAGCTGCTGTGTGGATGCTGGGAACTGAACCTGGGCTTCAGTGCTTTTAACCACTGAGGCATCTCTGCAGCCCCCTCTACTACTTTATACCTTACAGAGTTTGTGATTATTTATCTTTGACCTGTAAAGTTTTCTGGAGGTGCTGCTCTTTTTTTTTTTTTTTTTTTTTTTTTTTTTTTTGGTTTTTTGAGACAACAGGGTTTCTCTGTGGCTTTGGAGGCTGTCCTGGAACTCACTTTGTAGACCAGGCTGGCCTCAAACTCACAGAGATCCGCCTGCCTCTGCCTCCCGAGTGCTGGGATAAAAGGCACAACAACGCCCAGCTGGAGGTGCTTTTATTATCCAAATATTTGTAGTTTTCTAGTTAGCATTTTGAAATTACTTACTGCTCCAATTATATCATGGTTTGCAATTATGGTATTTTGTTAGTTTATTTTCTTTTTTTGTTTGTTTCCAGACAGGGTTTCTCTATGTAGCCCTGACTGTTCCACATCTCTCTGTGTAGACCAGGCTGGCCTTGACTCAGAGATCCACCTGCCTCTGCCTCCTGAGTGCTGGGCTGAAAGGCATGTACCACCACCATCCAGCTTATGTCTTAGAAATCAGTTTATTTAGATTCCTTGAGGTGTCTGTTGAAGACAGCATTTCAGTAATGGATTTACCTTCTCGCCTGCTTCCAGAGATGCTAATGGTGCCTCCAAAGCGACCACTTTATGCCTTTTACTTTGCCCATTCCGCAGTGCCAATGTTTACAGACTAGACATTTTCTTTGCAGTGTACTTTCTAGCTTATCCGTATATCAAATATACAGGCTTGAATGTTAACTCTGTGTGGTTAGGAAGACTTTTTGTGCTCGTCTGGGGTCTTATCTGTTGCCCTTTTGGTTTATGTATTCCTCAAGTAGGAATTAGACAGACTTTGTATGAAGCATAAATCCTGATATAATAGCTTACAGTTTTGTTTTGTTTTTTTCCAGGTAGTAGTTAGAGCTTTTGATTCAGGTCTCTGCTTATCAGTTACAACTATTGGTGATAATTTTTCTTTGTACTACAATGTTTCTTCCAGGATTAGCATTGTTTTCTGTACTGTGGCACTTTTCTACCTTTTTTTTTTCTTTTTTTGTTTTTGGTTTCTCGAGATAGGGTTTCTCTGTGGCTTTTGGAGGCTGTCCTGGAACTCACTCTGTAGATCAGGCTGGTCGCAAACTCACAGAGATCCACCTGCCTCTGCCTCTCAAGTGCTGGGATAAAAGGCGTGCGCCACCACCGCCCGGCTTCTACTTTGTTTTTTATTATCTTATTGTTGTGAAGAGGCACCATGACCAAGGCAACACCTATAAAAAAGGAAAGCATCTGATTGGGGCAGCTAATGGTTTCAGAGAGTCCAGCGTCATGACAGGAAGCGTGGCAGCTGGCACGGGGCTGGAGTGGTGGAGAGCTGCATCCTGATCCACAGGCGGCAGGGACAGACACCGGGCTTGGGGTGCACTCTTGAAACTGCAAGGCCCACCCCCAGTGACATTCCTCGGAATCCTTTCAAAAAGTACCACTCCCTGGTTACTGAGCATTCAAATAGTTAATAAATACTATTATCAATTCTTATTCAAGCCACCACCTAAGTGATCCTCAAGAACAAATTCATATTGAGTTAGCAGTGAAGGAGCTTGGGAGAGGCAGAGATGGTGGTGAGTGGTAAGGCCAGACCTCAGATTCAGAGCTAGAGCTTTTCATGCGTATTCCTTATGTGTTGGAGTTACTCAGGTGTAGCTGTCTTGGTAAAAATAAATGAATTAATTTTAAGGGTTTACAGATTCTTTTACAGAATAATTGATCAGTGACTTCATTTTTTTTCTCTAGGAGGATCTAACACCCAAGGATATTGAAGAGATTATTGATGAACTCAAAGCTGGGAAAGTTCCAAAACCTGGGCCAAGGTATACCCTTATATTATACATATATTATATAATATATATATATATAATGATTATATAATAAACTGATGGTGTAACTTACACTGAAGTAATCATAAGCTTAATTTTAAGAATCTTACACTCATGTTTACAGGAGTAGACTAGAAATTTGTGTACCAAAAGATGTCATCTGAGCAAGATATACTTTTTCTTAAAAACTCATAAGATAGCTAGGCGGTGATTGAATGCGCCTTTAATCCCAGCGCTCGGAAGGCAGAGGTGGGCAGATTTCTGTGGTTCCAGGCCAGCCTGGTCTACACAGAGAAATCCTGTCTCAAAATACTGAAAAAATAAAAATGTGTAAGATAGCCTTGGGAGATGGTTCAGTGTTGATAATGTTATGTCCTTGTAAGCATAAGGGTGTGTTAGAATCGCAGAACACGTGTGGGAGCTGAGTGGGCTCGGTGGCTGGGCTGTAATCCCAGGGTTGGGAAGAGGGGATGGGATCCCGAGCAGGGTGGCTAGCCACCTGGCTACAACACAAGGTGACAGGTGAGCAGGGGACGTTGGCTCCATGTGTAAGGTAGCACGCAATAGAGGTGACACCTAACATTGACCTTGGGTCCCCAGGTGCACACACATGTGCAAACATGCTTACACAGGTTTGATACACATACATGTGTGGAAAAAATGTTGTAACATTACGTGACCTCCCAGCACATTTACACTGAAGGAGACTCTCGTGTAAATAGAATTGAAAAGTACATGTTGCTAGAGGCTGGTCTGCAGCTAGCTTCCCTCCCCCTTATCCCACCTAAAGATCCATTTTCTCCCAGTCTATGCAGGGTGATTTAAAGTATCTTTAAAATGATGATGTTCATGTGTAATGCATACGTGGACTCAGAGGACAGCGGTGTGGAGTTGCTTCTCTCCTTACACTTGTACAGGAGTTCCAGGGTTTGAACTTGGGTTGACCGCCATGTCACCGACCCCAATACAAGATAGTCTTTATTACTGTTTTTCCCTTAGTACAAATTCACTTGAGTATCTCTTCCAAAAAATAATTGTTACTTTTCTTGAAATAGCTGTCTTGTATCCCCTATCTTTTGTCATATTGAATGTCACAGGATATTAGTTTGGTCTCAAACTAATTATAATACAGCCATGTGCCACATAATGACATTTAATCAGCAACAGACCATAATATTACAATAAAGCTGAGAAGTTCCTTTTATTATTTGTGACAGGGTCTTACTATATACTCCTGGGTGACCTGAAACTCGTTATATAGACCAGGTTAGCTTTGAACTCAGAGCTTTGCCTGCCTCTGCCTCAGAGTGCTGGGATTAAAGGCATGTAACACCACACCTGACGGAATATTTTTAAGAAAGAATGTGTAAATGTTAATCACTAATAGTCATTACTTGCTTTTCTTTTCAGGAGCGGGCGATTCTGTTGTGAGCCAGCTGGCGGGCTCACCTCTTTGACTGAACCACCCAAAGGACCTGGCTTTGGTGTACAAGCAGGCCTTTAGCTTGTGCTCAGCTGTAAAAAACTGTCCCTGGAGAAATAAAATATGAACCTATCTGTATATGCTTTATACTATTTATTCCCGCCTGTCCATCTTGGTAGTAACCTAGCAGCTTGCAGCTGTTGACTGTTACGTCAAAACAACAGACAGCACCTTCCTCTACCTGTGAGGACTCAGTCGTTATAATCAAGTACTCTAATGTCACCCATTTTAAACGGTCAGGTCCTTTCTGTCAGTATTAGGTTATTGTGAAGTAAAAGTTCTGCAAAACTTCAAACACATTTTTCTTTCCCATCTCTAGATGTGGCCAAGTTTTATGTTAACATTTTCTTTTTATAAACCTTATGTTGGTATTTCCTCGAAACATTTTAATATTTATGCATAGTGTCGTTGCTGTGTGGGGTAAGAGGGCTTTCTCTGAAAGCATTTATTTGTGTGCATGTTCTTTGAGACAGGTTCCTATTACTGTAGCCCTGGCTGTGTGTAGACCACTGCCTCCCAAGTTTGAGATTACAGTAAAAGCATTACTTGTAAGAAGAAAAGTTAGAACAACTTGATGTTCTTTGACTATAATATGTTTTTAGAAACAGCCTGTCACTATGTAGAAGGACCTGCCCTGCCCCTGCCTCCTGAGTGCTAGGACTAAAGGTGTGCACCAGCCACCACACCTGGTCATTAGCTTTATATTTTTGTTTGTTCTTTTGAGGCAGGGTTTCACCATCTTCGGCTATATTAACACTGAAAGCATACAAGAATTAACTGATGGAGTTGGTTAGTATGATGGATGAATATGGACAACATGTTTGTATGAATGAAACTATTACATTCAATTCAAAAGTAATACAGTACTTTTGAAAAGTCAAAGAAATAGTTTTAGTCAGATCACTTCAGGATTTGTCAATCAGTGGCCTTACAGGTGCCTCATTAGAGTAATAGGCACTCAGGAGCAGAGGCAGGTTGCATCTCTGGGTTGGATCGAGGCCAGCCTGGTCTATGTAGCCAAGTCCATGTTAGACAGCTGCTTAGCGAGACTGTCAGGGACACACACAGACACACCCCCCAAGACCTTTATTTTATCTTACATGCAGAGCCAGAAGAGGGCACTGGATACCCTGGAACTGAAGTTGCAAATGGTTTCGAGTGGTCATGTGGGTGCTGGGGACAACTAAACCCAGGTGCCCCAAATACCAGACTGCTCTTAACCGCTCAGTGATCTCTGCAGCTCTGCCTAGAAGACAGACTAACTGGGTGTAATTACGATTTAGGTGTTATGTCTTTTAAAAGCTTTTGCCGGAAATACAGCTCTGCATATATACCACTGTAGAGTGCTTGCTTGCCACGCCCACGGCCTGGGGTTCAGTCCCCAGTACACAGAGTTGTCCACGAGAACGGTTCCTAGAGTATTTCTGGACGGCAAAGCAACTTTTTGTTTCTTGTCACCCATGTCCTAAATGTTATATTCCAACAGCAGCCGAGTGCTCTCCTACTGTTCATACTGAATCTTACACGAGAGTTACCCAGTGAAGAAGATCCTAGTTTTTTATGCAGGTTTATGTCCCCGTCAAGTCCACAAGGCATGTCAGGACATTCAGCTTACTCTGTCAGTCTTAGGCTGGTCGGTCATCGAGGTACTAGCGGATACCGACGAGGGAGAGGACGGTTTCCTGGAGCTCTAACTCGGGTGGCTAAGGCACAACGGCTGCAGGCTAACCGCTGCAGATAAAAGCCTTCAGAGGAAGTGTGGGTACAAGCAGCTAGTGAGCCGGCGACACTTCCTCACGCACCCCACGATTCCAGGGTCACGGGTGGACAAGTCGGCTGAAACTTCAAAAAGGTCGCAGGCTCGATCGTGTGGCTAGAACCCGGCGTAACGCCGCAGCCAGTGCTCGTCACGGTGCCACCGGCCGGGAAGCAGCTCCAGGCACACAGGCAGGCAAACACTCGCGCAACACAACGCGGCCACCGCTAGCTAGCAAAGCCCTCCCGGTCTCCGGCTGCTGTGCGAAAACACGCGCGTCTCCTTCGCCGAGCGCCTGCACCGACGCCGCTGGCCGGTCGGGGAGGCCCAGGACTTCCGGCCCCCTCCGCTCGGCTCCGTACGAAGGAACGCAAGCGGCCGCCGCCGCCGCCGCGCGCCCCGCTCCTCCCGGGAGCCAGCGGACGGGCGCGTCGGGGGCGGGGCACGGCGGTCACGCCGCCCGTCCCGTGCCTGCAGGAGTCACGTGGGCGGCGCGGTCACGTGCTCGCGCCGCAGCCAATCGCCGCGAACGCTGTCCGGGAGCAAGGAGGCTGTGGTGAGAGACCGACCAAGACCGGAGATGTTTTCAAGCCCGGCCCCGGCGGCGTCAGGGGCTGTTGCAGCGGCGACGGAGACAGCGGCGGCGGCGGAGACGGCGGAGACAGCGGCGGCGGCCACCCGGAGGCCCTCGCTCCGGGGCTGAACCCTCGAGCGCCCGCCGAGCCTCGGGTCCGTGCGGGCCAGGGGGGCGTGGCGACCGAGGGGAGGAAGGAGGGCGCGGTTTCCAGTCCGCCCCGGGCCGGGCCAGCGGGGCCGGACGCCCGGGAGGAGACCCTCCGCCCCGGGCCGCGTCTCCTCCCTCCCCGGAGTCAGGTAGGGGATGCGCCTCCGCCCGCCCGCCGCGCCCGCCGCGCGCCCCGCTCCGGCCCAGCCCGCGGCGCGCCCGCCCGTGCGTCCGTCCGTCCGTGCGGCCCGTGACAGGCCGTTGGCGGCCGCCCCGCCCGGCATCCTGACGGGCGGCGGCGCAGGTGGGGCTGCGGCCCGGCGACGCTCGCTCGTTCGTTCTTTCGCTCCCTCGCTCGGGTCGGGCGGCGGCCAGCGCGAGCGCCCCGGCCGCGGCTTTTCCCGGAACATGGCGCGGCCGCCGGGAGGGCGCCGCCGGCGCACCGGCACGGACGGACGGACGGACGGACGGCATCGCGGGGGCGCGCCCCGCCGCCGCGCGCTCCCGGTGCCAGGCGCGCCCGGGGCTGCGAGCGCGGATGTCGGCCGGGCCGGGCCGGGCCGGGGCGTAGGAGGCGCGGCGGTCCCGGGAGAGGTGCGTGAAAGCGGAAGAGCTGCGGGCGGCGGCTTCGCGGAGCCGGTTCCGTCTGTCGCGAACGCCGGTGCGACCTGCCGCCCTTGCCGGGCCCTCGGGTCCCGGTGTGTGTGTGTGTGCCAGTTCGGGTTGGAACGAGGCGGGGAGACCCTGAGAGCGAGCACGTTGGAATCTTAGGTCTGGTTTGGAGGAGTAAGGTGGGGATGACGCATCCCTCAGGATCCGGAGCGTTGAACAAACGGTTTGTACAAAGAGGTCACCGGAGCCCAGCTGACAGCTGCTTTAGTAATCTCGGTGAGGACCGTGGAGGATGGCAGCGAGCGGGATTGCACTAAGCTGTGAGCACGTAGGAGACATTTGAAGCCGTGCGTGCGGCTGGAGGGACTGTAATTTCCGCCGGACACCCCAACCCACTCCCCCCCTCTTTGAACCGGGGTGAAGTGTGTTGCAAACCCCGCGGTCCGTGACATCACGCCTGGGGATCGCCGCTCATTCTGTGCTTGAGACGAGCCCGCATTCTCGGTCAGGTGTTTTCTCCTTATTTTAAAAGGGGTCTGTCTGAGTCGATGATAAAGGAAGACGAGCTGTTGGAGTGAAAGCCGCGTCTTTATCCACTGAGAACATAATGCCCAAGTAGGCCGTTAAAAATGTTGGTCGTTTTCAGTTTCATCAGCCTTTACACAAAGGCCTTCCCGGAGGTGAACTCACAGCGGGCGCTGTTGGTGCCAAGTGGTTTAAGAGCGGAGCGCGTTACCCTTAAAGAGCATTTCACTGTAACATTTACAATCTTAATGACATTTGTTTACGGGAGTGGGTGCGGAGGTGACAGCACAGCTTCCTGGAGTTGGCTCCTTCCTCTGCGTGGGTCCCAGAGTCCAAGTCAGGCCCTTGTTTTGGTGGCAGGTACCTTTACAGTCTGAGCCAACTTGACTGCCCACTGTGAACCTTTTGAGAGGGCTTTCATCGGGGTTAAAGGCTTCTCCTGGAGTTTATAGAGGGAGAAAGGCTTGGCTAAAGAATCCTTGATGCTTGACAGACCCACTTGTCAAACCCCCAAGGCTGAACCAAACAGCTCGACTCAGGACAAGGCTTTAGCTGGGTGTGACTAGGTGTTCTGTTTGGAGAAAGGAAACCAGAGGGTTAGGTGTATTTGTAGGAGGGATATCAGAATTAAAAGTTGAAAGCCCTTCTTACAGTTTTTGTGTTTTAAAGTTGTTAACATAGTTTATGGACTAAGCAGAGCTGAAAACGGTGGGAGTCTGGGTAGCATCCTTTTGATGAGGTCTGTTTGAGGAGTTAGGAGAGCAATAGTGAAAGAGCTCAGTGGCTGAAAATGTTTTGTAGCCTTGGTATTGGTTTTTCTTTGTTTGGTTTTTGTTTGTTTTTGTGTGTAGCTTTGGCTGGCCTGGGACTCTGTAGACCAAACTGGTCTTGAATTTACAGAGATGAGCCTGCCTCTGCTTTGTAAACGCTGGGGTTAAGGCCTGCTCTGTTGCCGTTACCGACCGCCATTGGTACTGGTTCTCTGATATCCAGGAAAGACTAATGGCTGAACTTTATGTGGAAACGAGGAGTAAACTGGAGGAGAGGGTTCTACCAAGATTATGGTGTTGCTGGGAGACGTAGCTTGGGTGGTAGAGCACTTGCCTACCGTGTTGTAAACCATGGGCTGAATCCCCAGTGGAACGAACCAGGCTTGATAGTCCACATCTACAGTGTCTGTACGCCCGGCACTCAGGAAGTGGAAGCAGGAGCATCAGTTCAAGGTTGGGTTACAGATGTGGCTGTCGTTAAAGAGTAAACATGAGGCCCAGTTCTCCTTGGGGAAGCAGAGGCACGGAGAGCCCATGAGGGGTCCTGCCTCAAAAAAACACGGTGGAGAGCAATGGGAGATGTTGACCGGTAGCCTCCATACATGCATTTTGCACGTGCATCCGTGTGCATATGCATAAATACCTCCACCACTACCACCAAGAAAAGTTTAGCCTACATGCTGAGTTCTAGGCCAGCCTGAGAGCCATCCTGATGCCCTGCTTTCCCCGTTGTGGACACAGGTTATTGGGAAAAGTGACTGACAGTTTATGAAGTTGGCTGGAGAGAAGCTAGTCAGTTGGGATATTTGAAAAAGGTTTTTTTTTTTTTAAAGTAAGAGGTTTTTCTTTAGCTGATTAGTAGTTAAATTTTTCTTTCTTTTCTTTTTTTTTGAGACAGGTTTGCCTGTGTATCCCTGGCTGCTCTGTAGACCTGGCTGGCTGTGAACTCAGAAGTTGCCTGCCTCTGCCTCCTGAGTGCTGGGATTAAAGGGGTACACACCCCACACCCCACAATTAATTTTTCTTAAAAAATTTTTTTGAGACAGAGTCTGGTTTCCAATTGACAGGTGTAATTCAGAATGTCCTTGAAGGATCCTCTTGAAATGTTATTTTTTAGATATGTAAATTATTTTTGTTTCATGTGCATTGGTGTTTTGCCTGTGTGCACGCGCACGCGCGTGGGCGTGTGTTATCAGAACCCTTGGAACTGTAGTTACAGACAGGTGTGAGCTGCCATGTGGGTGCTGGGAATAGAACCCAGGTCCTCTGGAAGAGCAGTCAGTGCTCTTAACTACTGAGCCACCTCTCCAGCCCCTTAAAGGCTTGTTTTTAATTATGTCTGTGTAGGCATGTACAGGAGTGCAAAGTGTCTACAGCGGACAGAGGGTGCCGGGAACCAAACACAATACCTGTGCCTTCCAAGGAGTTCAGAGTGTAGACTTCTCCCACCAGTTGCAGTTTTCAGGAAGAACAGAGAATGGTTAGCTGGGTGTTGGTGGTGCACTCGGGAGGCAGAGGCAGGCGGATCTCTGTGAGTTCGAGCTAGTTCCAGGACAGCCTCCAAAGCCACAGAGAAACCCTGTCTCGGAAAAGAGAAAGAGAGAGAGAGAGAGAGAGAGAGAGAGAGAGAGAGAGAGAGAGAGAGAGAGAGAGAGAGAGAGAGAGAGAGAGAAACGAGAGAGAGAAACGAGAGAGAGAAACGAGAGAGAGAGAGAACGAGAGAGAGAGAGAGAACGAGAGAGAGAGAGAGAGAGAGAGAGAGAGAGAGAGAGAGAGAGAGAGAGAGAGAGAGAGAACGAGAGAATGGTTAGTAAGATTAGTCACCTCTGTCTGTCCTTATAGGAAGTAGCATCAGTTAGGTAGAACTTCCTTTTTACTTGCAGTAGGTTGCTTCAGAATTGTCTTTCTGATTTGGCTGATTGGGAATATATTGCTAACGTATACCCATGGAGAGTTAGTATTAGAACTATACCTGAATTCATGTTTTCTAATCCACGTCCTTAATTTTGAAATGAAAAAGTAAAAGCTTAGTAAGAAGGTACATAGTTACAGTTATCTGCCGTAGTGATTTGTCTGAAGGTTCCTTGCTGTGAGATGCTAATTTGTCCTTTATTTTGGGGTAGTTATGAAGTAGAAGAAAAAAGACCTTGGGCTGTAACTGAGAAGGGTTAGATTTAAGTTCTTTGCCACTTTTATTTTTCCTGACAAATCATGTAACATTCAGAACCTTGCATTTTTCATCTACCAGAAATAATTTCCTGGGTCTGCAGATTGCCTGCTTGGAATATGTGAGGCCCTGTTCAGTCAGCACTGTCACTGTCAATAATAATGATAATAATAATACAGGAAGCACATTGAACACTGGGAACTTTTATATAGACAGAATGTAGTGATGCTACTTTTAAAGAAAATGTAGTTCTCGAGAGTAACGAGGTGCTTCAGTCCCTAGGTTTTTTTGCTTAGCCCCAGCTTTATTATTCTCTGGACCTGCTATTCTGAGGATTATAATTCCTTGTAGATACATTTTTCCCAATCCCCACTTAGTTCTAATCTTGGTAAAGCGGCTTATGAACACTCCAAATATTGCTTTACACCTCCGATTTCTCCTGGAGAATATAAAGTTGCTTCGTACAGCATTTGAAAACATTCTTGTTATACACTCATGCATGCATAATTTGTTTCCTTAGCAGACAATGGCTTTTTAAAAGCAATAGTGAAAGTACCATAGTAGTGGTGTTAATTTGTCTCTTCCTGGTTTCCAGATATGGCAGTAGCAGGAAGTAAATTTCCTTTATAAACTCGGTTTTGAATA